TGTCGCAAACTTAATTTACACACTTATACTTAATTTTTTAAACTTTCATCCTACTCATAGAAAACAGAAAAATACATCGCTTTCACTCAAAGAGATGTCGCAGGAAATTATTCTCACTATGATGCGACAAAAACAAAAAAAATTGTAATAGCTAATTAATATTACACCCATCTGAAATTATGCTTGCTTTTCTTCTAATTTGATAGGAAACTGTAGTGAAGATGATGTTTAGATACAGCCACATCCGATGCGTATAATGGGAGAACGTGATAGAACATTTTTCAAAAGTGTTGTTTACTTTACTTTGAGATCTAATGCCATTACTAAAAAACCACAAAAAGTAGTATCAAATAGATTGCTTCTCACTTAAATTGGGAAGATTTTTGTTAAAAAGTAGAGTGGTAAAAAGGACAGGATTGCTTGCATTTTACAAATCTTATGTAAAATATGTGGAAGTTGAGGGAAGAACCCGACAACTGAATTAGGAGCAAGCACTGCGCCACCTGTAACCAGAAATTTCCTGCAGGACTGTTCATCTCGACGCTTTGCCAGATCGTTCGTAACTTCGCAACTTCTTAGAAGCGTTCCCAGATAGAGAAGGCAGGTTTGGAACTCTCCCTAACAGACCTTCCAGCAATACTCATCCGGCCGATAAATAGCCACCCGACTCATAATCATTTTGTATGTTGTGTTTACTGCTACGATATCATATGCTCATTTCGAAAACTAAGAAGGAGATATCTAGATGGGACCACCGCACAGTCTCATGCTTTTGCTGCATTCTGTGTGAGTCAGCTATGCTTTTTTCCATGAAATGCCAGATGACATTCCGAAGCTGTTTCATTTTGCCTATCTTCTTTCGCATCTAGACGTTTCAAAGAAACCTCCATCTTTTCTCCTGTATTAGTCAAGTTTGTGATGAGAAAACTCTCATATTTGCTGCTCCTTTTCTAGGTGGATTTAATTGCCCTCTCCTTAAGCGTTCTTATTTTGTACGTAGCTAAACTCTCACTTGAACTCTACTCAAATTGTTGCCGCTCAGAAATGTCTGAGGCGTCAGCAGATGTAGAAGAGTTAGACAGCGAACGAAAGTCGAACACTACGAACGATGAGCAACCACCTGTCAATGTTGGCGAGACAGTTAATGTCCAGCATGGAGAACTTAGTGGAGGCAGTTTTGATTCTATTGGTAATGAAGAAGCACCTAGTAGACACGACGAGGGAAGCGAGGTTGAGGTAGGTTCATTTGGATTCTGAGATTTCGTTTTTACTGTAGTAAGTTACTCAAGGGAGAGGTTCTGCTATATAGCTTATAACGAGGTTTCCCACTTTCTAGAGCTACTTGCCAGCCATTCAGTACCTGCGTAGGAAAAATGTGAATTGATTGTATCATCCAAGTAAATGGAAGTGAACTGTAGCGTAGTGTGCCTCATCAGGGATTGTCAGTCCGGAGTCAGCCGGTTTTCAGGGGGTCCTTGGTGTAGTTTCATATTTGGATTAGTTAACATGGATCGCCAGATGTTGTCACGTTATCGAGCGAGAGATGCCTGCTTCGAAATA